CATGTCAGGGTTCTCCATCAGATTGCTCCATTAGCAAATATGTTTTTAGCACAGCATAACAATATATTTACATATGAGACCTTTCAGGTTGACTTATCATCAGTATTCCTACATGCATGATTTACAGATTTAGATTTTTTTAGGCAAATCAAAGGACTTTGTTTTGGTAAAGGAAATATTGTGGGACGATGTGCCATCGTTATATATATTTTAACAACAATTAGCTATTGTATTTAGCTTACATTTGGCTAACCTTATTCTGTGTTACTGGCGAAGCCACACACAGTATAGTATTCAACATACTTATCTCATCTTATTCTCCTTCTTCCGCCACAAATGTTGTCATGCTACTCGTCCGGCAGCGTTGACACGAAACACACAAAAAACACATCAAAACGTGCGGAATGACCGGGATCGGGTTGCTATGTATTTTATAAGAGATTTGCCTAGCCGTTTTCATGCAAATCGCAGAAAACTGTGATTATTTGCCCCATAGGAATGAATGGGAGAGCTCGTAAAGAGTGGGTGACATCACGGCTAGAGGGGAGAGGAGCTGGGAAAAAAACGCTTTGATCTTTGAACACACCTGTCGGTCGTTAACTAAATCCAGTCGTAATCTAAAGATGTTCAGAAACGATGCAGGAATGTGGTACAAGAATCCAAAAATGTAATAGATAATCAGTTAAAATAGTCAGCTAAAAATGAGCTAAAATGAATGGATCTTTGTCGTACTTAACAATACAACTAATGCTATTAATACTTACTCAGCTTTCTCATGCACTCCAACATTATGAACTAAGCTCACTGAGTTGTTCATTGGGAATTATACCTGTAGGTTGAGACACAGAGGAAAAACTTTTTCTTTTTTTTTACATTTAATGTTTGATTGTAATCTATCCTATTTGCTGTTTCAAATGTATAAATTAGAGACAAGTTGTTATTCAAAAAAATACCTTCACAATGAATTAAAATACAAGTTCCCACACTGATGTCACGACATGTTCAGCACTTTTAGCAATAGTTTATTTCTGTTGGAATCATAATATGCCAGACTTTCTGTGTTCTCTTCTGTGGAAAAAGACAAAACTAGAAGGAACACATACCAACTATCTCCATAGCTGAAGCAAATATTGAAACCCATGATGTGAGAGCGCCTCCCTCCCCTCCCTCTCTTCTGTGACAGATGTAAATGGTTGTTTCAGCAGTTGGCTCTAATGCATTTTTAAACAGGCATAGCAAATTAACGTGTCCAACAGCCAGACTCTACAACAGGGTCTCCATCTATTGCTTCCTCCTACTCACACACAACAAAATATACAATCCTACTTACATGCACGTGCACACACACACACACACACACACACACACACACACACACACACACACACACACACACACACACACACACACACACACACACACACACACACACACACACACACACACACACACACACACACACACACTGCTGAGAATAGCTGTCATTCATCAGCTCTCTCAGTACAATGGGCTCAGTAAGGTCCCATCTCTCAGCTGAAGCACCTTCACAGTGCGGTGCCCAGCTGAGCTCTGAACCGTCACACTCTGTCAGCCCGCCAGCCCACAGTACAGTAGAGGGAGAGATGATTGGCTAAAACTGTGAGTTGGACATTAAATGGTTCTGCTTTCCCAGATGGCACCACAAAATACTGTTACTGATGATTCCACCAAACTTGACAATGACAACCTGAGAGAAAAGGGCAATAACAAAGACGGAGGATGAGTGTGTTGCTCACCGTGACCGTGTCTACAAGGACTGCTCAAAGGACTGCAAATAAATTAAGACTCATTAAAAACATCTTCAAAAATGCTGCATATAAGTAAAACACCAGCATTCCACGTGATGTGAGGAATAGAGTGGTGATGTGGCTCTGTCACTTGGGAAACGGTGTTTAATAACTTCCAGTTGTGGTTACTGAAGATCTCCAGGGTGTGGACGCGAATGGCGGGGCGGGGGGGGTTAGGTCACAGCACCCCAGTGAAATGCCAGCATGCACAACTGTGAAAAACTTGTATATAACACATGTCTACTTGAAATAATCTAATGGACTTATTAATAATAATAATAATAATAATAGTAGTAGTAGTAGTAGTAGTATATTTTTATAAAAGTGATTCTTTGTTTAACATTTTAAAGATTGTTGTTAAAGATTTTGAATTATCATCATGAGCTTGTCTCGGCCTCTGACAGAGCTTTTGAATTATCAAAGCTTTATGCATGAAATACAGTGAATGCTTCATCAATAAACATTAATACAATTATATAATATTAGTTCAAATATTTAAACATAGACAGAATGTTTAAGACAATTTTACAGTCGCCTCTATTCAAACCATTCCTTTTAAATGGCTATATCATGGCATCATTCTGTTCGACACTTATCTTATCCTTAATATCACTAATCATATCCCTAAACCTAACCTTCTCTCACAGAGCGCACAGCATAGTTTTAGTGAGCATCAGAAGAACAGAGATGGAAAAGAGATGAATGCACTGGCTTGTAATGAAGAATTGAAAATGGTTAACAGGGCCCAGCAGGCCGGCACAAGATTCTCTTAATGATTCCCTAGTTTATTTGATAGGATCTTAGTTATGATTAGGGGTGTAATGGTTCACAGAATTCACGGTTCGGTACGTACCTCGGTTTGGGGGTCACGGTTCGGTACGGGTTCGGTACAACAAGAAAAAGCAAAAAAAAGTTGCAAATGTATAATTCCAGGTTTGTTGTTATTTATTTTTGAACAGTAGTGCACGTTTCAGTTCAAAAATAAGGAACTCACACTTCACACATTTTGAATAATTAACTGTATTACACAGTTAAAAACAAACCACAAACAGTACCACACACACTCAGTTGTTGTCTTTTGCCGGGCTCCGGTGATTGGCAAATCTGGGTGATGCCTTCTGATATGATTTAGCATGTTTGGCTTGTGTTACCATTAGCATACCGCACCGCTGTCGAACAACGCCGACACACCGTCCTCCCGATCCACCACTCGCACACTCCATCGTTATTGTAGTCCACAGGGAACCCGAAATGTTCCCACACAGCTGATTTAAAAGAAGCAGGTGGGTTCTAGCTCCTGTGTGTTATCTGAAATCGCCATACTAACTTTTCTTCTTCTTGTATTTTGTTCGTTTTGTTGTGTTTTCTTCTTGTTCTTCATTTGTTAGGACGACGGTCCCCCCATTGGACCCCTCCCACCGTTTTTTTTTCGAGACAATGTCTCAGGGCTTCTTAACATTTATGAAACTATTAATGTGTAGCACCAGATTAACGGGAAGAATCTCAGCTAACTGAAGATATGAACCATTTTTACCAAAACAAAACACAAGTCTCATAAGAAGCGTCTAAATGACCCCTGAGCGAAAAAATGCAAACTGACTTTGGCACACAATTCAAGATAAAGATACCCTTATTACTTATCGTAGCTGCACATACAATATAGCCGATTAAAGCTGAGACTCCACAGATTATTTAGGTATAGTATCATCACTGAGCGATCCGAACTTGCGACAGGGGAAGCAAACACAGACATATATAACTGTATAACAGTGTATATAACTTTCCCTCGATTCCATTGGCTCTAGCGGTTATAAAGAGATTTCATTCATGAAAATCGACCAAGGGGGGCCAGAGATAGGTCAAATCCACCCAAATGACCCCAGAAGTGGGGGGTTTTGGCAAAATCTCTCTAAAAAGGTCAAATTTCACTTGTTTTGCATCAATCTTGATACAGGGTACTTATATGTTGTACTTTGGATTCCTAAAGCTTTTAGTCTACTAACCCATCATCCAAGGGTAGTTTTCACTATAAGTAAAAAAGAATTTTTGGACGGACACTATAATTTACAGTTTTTTACTATGTTCAATCTGAATTTTCTTTAAAATAAAAAACATCTATATTGTTCTGACTTTTCTACATCCAACTCACAGGTTTATCATTACTTTGAGAATAAAGATTATTAATTTAACCCTTTTAGAAGGGAAGATATGGTCATTTGTTCTGGGAATGTCATTTTCGAGCCTGAGACCTGAAAAACAGGCTCAGGGTTTAACAGGTTAAGGGCGGCTGGCAAACAGCTTTTAGGCGCAATACCGCCCCCTGGATTATATATAGTATAATCTGAGTGACAGACTTTTTTCCCACTCGTAAACAAAGGCGTATTCGTCGTGTGACTGCATGTGCCGAACCGTGACGTCCGAACCGTGGTGGTTCGGGATGAATACGGATACCGTTACACCCCTAGTTATGATAGTAGGTTAATTTAAAGCACAATAATAGCAACGCAGGCAAGACACAGGCAAACTCTGTGGCCGACCAGGAGGTTAGCATCAGAAGGGCTCCCCAGACAAAACATTTCTTCATGATTTTGGAATATTGCAGAAAAATAAGATCTGTGGCAAACAAACATTTATGATACTTGCATGTTTTGTCCAGTAGTATAATATCCACATATTAACAACACAAACATGCAATCGTAAGGAAAAAGCTAACGTATGGCTATAAACAAACTACATTGCGGTTCCTATGTTGAGCATTACCACCGATAAGCTAAAGGCGGCTAATGTTGTGCGTGATGATGTTTAGTAGTCTTATTAAGACATTTTGCAACCGTCTTTTTAAGACACATAGAAGCCTTGACATTCACCAGGGGGGTATTTACTGGCGTATTATATGTTTCTAGAACAATCAAATATCTTCGGCTTGTGTTAACCGCAGACCACAGCATTTCACGCTTTTAAACAAAAACCCATCAAAAAAATACATTGACTTTGAGACAAGGGAAATGGAAGTGTTCAAATGCTGATTCATTTCTGGGTTTTAGGACTGATTCCACTGTTAAAGTTTTATAATACAAAAATGAAATAATCTCTCTGTCAGCCTAACACAGTCTGAATAGCTGATACAGCACATTCCTCTTTGACACTGATCTTTAATTGTTTTTGTCATTGCAGGTACCCATCAGCACAACTATAACCATGTGGCTCTAGGTAGCCCTACACGCACACCTAAGAATGGTAAGACAAAGATGGAGATATTCAAGTAAAAACAGCTCAGTTCAGTGTTTGAGATGAAGACTGGGCCAGGGCATTAACTCAATAACTATCAATTTGCTAGACCACAAATCCATTCTGTTAATATCTCATTTAAAGTGGACCTATTGTGCTATATTTGAAAAATATATTGTAGGGCCATACCTATACAAAACATGTCTGTGAAGTTTTTGCTTAAAATACCAAACAGATCACCCATTGTAGCCATGCCTCATACTGCTCATACCCCTCTTTTGCAGCCCTGTTCCAAACAGGCTGATTCTGCTTTAAATGGAACGGCTGCTGCTAGCCACGCCCCTTTGTAGCGTCACGCAGCTTTCCCCTGCTAGAGAGATTTATACCGGGAGAAGCTCAGCTAAACGCTGCGGTGATTAAATGCCATCTTATGCTCCTAACCACTTCAAGCTTTATTTCTGAAACAGTATGGAGCTCAAACCTTTCTCGCAGGGTTTACCACAAGGACATTACGTTACACATATTTTCTACAGTAGCCTACAGCGTTAGCTCCATGGTTAGCTCTGAGTGTTAGCATGCTTGCTAATGTAAACACACAGCATATTACTCCCAAAACACGCCGCGCATTGTTTCTGATACAGCACATAGCTTGACATGTTCTTTCTTAAGTGTTTACCGCTAGAACAGTGCCATTATATGTATTATATATATATATATATAACAACTTTACTCTAAGTGCCTCCTGCAGACATCCTGCTGAATACACCGACACACAGCTGCGACTGTATACGGAGATGATAGGTTGGGACGTGTCACGTCGGCCGGATGTCGCCAATGACGTTATAGGAGCGACAATTCTGGATCTTCTTGTTAGCACCCTCTTTTCTTTTTTTTTTAGAGATGTGGGTACTGAGGAAAAGAGAGAGGGTTTTGTTTTCTGACACTTTGTGAGTTCCCTGACACACCGGGGACACATATTTATGTATAAAAGACATCAAAAAGTGCATTTTGCATAATAGGTCCCCTTTAAGTTGAATCAAATAAGTGTCACATCCCATGATCATGCACCTTTTTCTTTGGGTGGGCTACAGTGATTTTACATCTGTTTTTTAAAGCTAAAACAATTGACTGCGTGCCAAGTTAACAGTCTCTTGAGGTCATCCTGTCCTCTAGTTTCCTGAGTGTGTGAAAGTTATCAGCACTACCTCCGGCTCCCCATATGCAGCATCACCGTGAATCACTCGTAATGCTGATCAACTTCAGCTCGTGCTGGCAGATGTGGAGAGTAGCAGTTTCATTAGGATGTACAGTAAGATGGTTACTGGAGAGAGGAAAGACAGCAGGGATCAAGGAAAGAAAGGAGCCCATAAGCTGGATATTCACGGCCTTCTGTATTTATAAAACACTCTGAACTTGCCATTCGATTTATATTCTGTTTGTTTCATCCATATATGTGAAAAAATTAGAAGCTTGCTTTCTTTGCTTCAATTCTGCAGCCACCATGGCCTCCTCTTTATAATTGATCATGTAGTGCATTTCACACAAACACACACAGAGAAATAAGCATGAAAAATAAATGTTAACAACGCAGGGACTTTGATCACTCCCAATTTCAGCATGCAGTGTATTCTCGAGATAAAACCTGTGTGTGTGTGCGTTGGTGTGTGTTGTACTAGTCATGCTGAATATGGAGTAGGTCTTTGAAGGCTGTGTTTTTCGCACCATCAACCTGTCTCTGAAATATTTGTTTTTCACTTGGGTTTGGTAGCTCACCGATCTTTGAGACATGGTAAGTTGTCGATACATTTAGTGAAAAAACTCATTCATTACATTCTTGCACACATCTATTTACATATTGATCACAAACAAACCACTATGTTTGTACCTTTCTGTCTTTCACCTGATTTGTGTTTTCAGACCAGATTTAAGTAGCATTTGTTATTCAGTCTTGCTCTTTGAATCATTTTCAATCCATGAATGCAAAATTATGTAATTTGATGTGAACATTTCTTTGTTTAACTCTATTTTTCTTTTTGTCAACAAATCCCACAAAAAGACCAAAGATTATGTGCTCGTCTCTCTTTATTTTCTCTCTCCCCGTTTGTGTTTCTCAGCCACAAGCTCATTGTACTTCTGAAGACATAAATCTTTCTAAAGGGGTACACATTTTAAGGATAATTTAACAAAAGATGCTCAACAATTCCCTTAAACAACTGCTGTTTTATTTGGCCTACTTAACTTTAAAGTGCATTATTTTAAGCTGTGGGTGAATACAAATCTTGTGGAATGTATAGGTCGTGTTCCGCTCACACTTTTAGTTTGTCCAGAGACATACGCTCTGTTAATGTGATACTGACAGTGTGTGCGCTGGATGAAGTAGCAGTCGACCAATCGGAGCTTTTTAGCAAGGACTAAAATGGGAACGTTTGATTTTTTACATCGCTAGCTAGCTACCTGGCTAAATATAAAGCAACATCCTTGTGCAACAAGAATAGAGGAAATCTACACAGCTATACTATAAAAAATGAAAAACCCTCAGGTGGATATATTTCTGTAAGAGCTCCTAGAAAATGATAGTGCACCTTCAATCTTTCTTGCTGACAGGTTAGTACAAAACAGAAGAAAATAAACCCCCATGCAACAAGTGTCACGCAGAATAAGTGAAGTTTAGCATGGAAATTGAATCTGATTATCATGATATGTCTATCTGCCAAGCCTACAGGAAGAGCACCAAGCTTTGAAGCAGTCTTGTAGTGGCAAAACGGTGGAATTACCGTACAACTTCCTTTCAGTCAGGTATGCTATGCGCTCAACAAAAAAAAAAAGATCCCCATTGACATTGGGTAGAAGACATCTGTAAATCAGAGGGTTTTCTTTCAAGATAAATCTACTTCTGAGTATGAACGCTTTAACAGCCCTTTTTCAAATCCTTAACTCTATAAAGTTGTGAAATGCGCTAAAAGTTGGTTGCAGGGTTACTTTCCCTCCGCTTATGTGTCTGAGCCCAGAACCGGCTGGGAGGTAGGGAGGTAGGGTTTTAGGGTAGGATTAGGATTGCCTATGCTCTATGTGGAAGATGAGCGAAGGTCGAGCCACTTTGAACGCTGTATCCTCTTCTCTTTATACATCAATAGTATGTGCCTGTGTTGGTCTGAATGTATAATAATGCCACCCGTTGCCCAGTACTAGACTTTGGCTATAGAGGCAATACTTAATAAATTGTTTATTTTGGTCTTTTTATTGTATTTGTTGGCAAAAAAGAAAATATCATCAGAAATCTTTAAAAACTTTTAAAAACACCTGTACGATTTGCAGAGATTACTTGAGTCAGGTCTGTGTGTTTGGACTGTCCATTGTGATAAGGTAGTGAATGTGTTGGTATGGAGATATCTAACCGCATGCCACAGTCTGAGGTATTTTTCCCTTATTGATGCAGGGTGGCAGACGGTCCAGCAACACATTTTTCACATCCGTCGTAATACCCACAACCCTCCCCCCAGCCCCCCCCCCAAGACCGCCTCCAATCTTCAGCTGTCCCACTCTCCCAGGCTTACCTCCTTGCTTCATCCCACACCATTTTTCCTTCTTTCCCTTTAAGATTCTCTTTATCTCCATCTCTTCTCCTCTTTCATTTCCTTCACTCCATTCTGCAGCAGTTACTAAGGCCTTATTTTTATCTGTCCATTGGAGGCTGCTGTGGCTGCACCCATGCACGCTGCTCTGCACTGTGTGACAGACTCGCAGCACGCTGGGGAAAGCAGATAAAGCAGGAGTGGAAGAATTAAGGAGTGAAGGGAAGTGGGTGGCAGCATGGTGGGGCTGATGAGATTGAAGGAGGACGGAGGTGAATAGGACTGACTCAGATGTTTGCGTACATGTATGAGGGTGGTAAAGAGAAGGGGAAAGTATCAGAGAGCTTTGGTCGAGTAACCACCACACCACCACCCCTTACCCCCCAACCCAGCCCCCCTTTTCTGTGCATATTCCTGCCATCGTAACGCTTCACCTCAACTAAAGCCCACCAACACTCCCTGCCCGGGATCACATCCGAACACTGTCAGGAGCAGGGGCCCTCTCCAGCACACTTCTGTCATTTGATGTGTTCTTTTCTTTTTATTCTGGACCACTCTTTCCTCCTGCGAAACCACTGACCACTACATCACCATGCAAGTCAGTCCCACAGCAAACACTCCCTGAGTGCCTTATGTGACTGCCTATACCCCCCAATCGGCCACCAGCAAGTTGGAGTTTTAGATATGCAAACATTTCTCACAGGCTGGCACTCTCCAATACCGTGCTGAAATAAAGCTCAGGCAGATCTACTCTTTTCTTAAGTAAGTGGTGCTAAAATTCAAGAGGACAAAGACTAGAGAGATTTTTCTTTGAAATGTGTTGAATTCAGCTCTGCCTTCAAGTGTTTGTGACTCTAAAGCTCCAGCCTGCCCGGCTCTTGCTCACCTCCCAGCTAGATTTTCTAGCTAGGGCAGGAGGAGCCAGCCTTCCATCTCTTTCTCTTCCCTCTTCTGTCTCTGTACATGTATGTATGTATGTATGTATGTGTCTCCAGAAAACAATCGGATAAGTGGCATCCTGACCTCGCAGACGGAGCCCTACGACCTGTCTTTCTCACGCTCCTTCCAGAGCCTGTCTCACCTGCCGCCCTCCTATGAGGCGGGCGTCAAAGCCGACCTCAGCCGGTTCTCATCCCTGAAGAAACTCAGTAGGTCCAAGTTCACTGCACTAATGCAAGAGTAGATTCCCTGCCCTGAAGCCCTGCATGACGCAAACACTGCATTTAGTTTCCTGACCGGGACTTACTGAGTAGCTCGGAGTTGTTTCAGCTGTGAAAAGGATTTGCTCACTCTGAGAAGGATGTCCTACAGTCGGGAAAGAGCCCATATATTTGTGCTACTCCCTGATCATTTCAGTGGATGGAGAGGCTGACTCAGAATCAGATCTGATCTTTCATTAAATCAGCGTAGTCATCTCATTAAACTATGACTCATTGATATTCCATGCTTTCCCTATTTCCACTTAAAGGCCACTATTTATTTTGAAACGAGTAAGTAAATGAAACTGCTTCTTTTGCCCCACCCGTCTCAGTATTGATTTAGTGGTGCCATGCTGGATTTCTGTTGCGTAATGAGGTCTCATCTCATGATATTCCTCGACTGGAACGCAAACATTCCTTAAGCCTTATCTAATGTTATCTTGACTGCTCAACTTTACTGCTGGCATGCAGTCAAAGTGAACGATGACGATCTACAACTCATCCCATCAGGGCTCACTCCACACTGGCTCCCACTCTTAACTGCCAGGCACCTTTTCAGACTAAACGCAAACCATGTTGGCAGGATTCAGTTGTATTGGGAGGAAAAACCAAAAAACCATTACTGTCCTCTACATGAAGAACTAGTGTAATCATTAAAGCTGTAAAACAAAAGCAAATCATTTCTAATGTTAAAGATAGTAGCAGTGTTCAAATGAAAACATATCTTTCCTTCATTCTTCCCAGCTTTCTTTCTGATTCCAAAGCAAATTATTTGTTGCAGAAAATAGCCAAAAGGCTCTGCAGTTTCTTTTTGGTGCTCAACTACTGTCTGTGCTCTGATAGATCATGGTGGATTGTGCTAGAGGGAAGATAGAGCCCTGTTTCATTGTAGGGACATAAAAGAGAAGAATGCCACTTCTTATTCATGCAATTGGTATCAAACTGAAGCATTTAGCCCGTTCCAGTGCAGGACAGTCTACAGTACATTACACGTTATTCATTCACTCCTTGGTAATATGGTTGATGAGTTGCAAGGCCCTCCTGCCCTTATCCTGAAGACTATTATGATTGAAAATGGAACATCTTGTTTTTATTATCTCTCGTAACAAATGCATTTGCAGCTAGCACCCGTGGCTGGATGCTGAAGGAGAGTCTGGCTGAATGTAATCTTGACAGCTGATGTGAAAACTGCTGCAGCCAATATTATAAAAGACAGACACAGGGTCATCTGCAAGGTGGAGAGGTCTGCTCTCCATCATTCATGCCCGCTATAAAAATGACACCCCTGAGTTAGTATGGTGGTTAAACATTCATGGCTATGACCAGAAAGAATAAAGGATGTGTGTCTTCATGACAATGGACTTATTTGTGTTCCATTTTTGAATTCATGCGGCATTTCGTCACTTTAACAAGATGTCTGACAGAGTTTGTGTGCATCACTATGTTAGTTGATCTGTACCAAAGTCTTCGTGCATGTGTTTCTGGTTGTGTGGCATGCATGTGATGATACTCTACTATCTATGGAAATGTATTCTTGTCTTTGTGATCTGCTACTGAATGCATGTTGCAGTTGTTTGCACAGAATAAGGACACACTCTGGGACACAATTCTCAATATTGTTCAATAATACAATAACCTTCCAAGCATGTGTATATGAGGTGCCTGCGTGCTTCCCTCCACATCTGTATGACATGACAATGTTTGTTCATAGACTTTTACATGACCTTTGACATTTTGCCCCCACAGACAGGGCTGCCTGTATATTCCCAGATGAATCCTGGATGTGTGATGTCATGTGCCTTGCATGTAGTGATTCCTCTGTGCCTCTCTGTTATCTATTCCCCTCCATAAGCTTAGAAAGGTGGAACACAGATGGGTCCGCCAACACTATTCTCTGAATTGTTCGCAATGTTCTCCAATCCCACTTTATCCGATGTCTCCCCTTGCATTCTACACCTCGCCTTGTGTTTTCTTGCTTTCACTCCCTGAATCTCCTCTTCACTTCTTGCTTGTGTTTTTTCCATCTCTCCAGCAGCAGATAAAGAAGTCGACGACTACTACACTCGTAAGCGCCACCTGCCTGACCTGGCAGCAAGAGGCACTCTACCCTTGCATGTTCTCAAACTGACCCATGAGCAGGTGGGTACAAGTGCTTGGTTTAAGTGTGCAGACATCCAATTACATTAATGCACAAAATGTACAACAATATCTGTTTTCTTTTCTTATTACTGCAGATTTGTATTTGTATTCCATATTTTATTCCTTTCCATTGCAATAGCCGCGTTCACACCAAGTACTTTGCCGTATTTAGTGCCGGCACTCAGAGCCCCGGCACTTATGACCCCAGGGCACTTAGTACAGATCGCGTCTTAGTACTTTTCCCTGAGGGAAGATTATGCAAATGAAGCCGCTGACGTCACTTCGTCGTCTTCTGCTTTGGGTTTACTGGCAGGCCACAAACAACTTCACGACGTATACTGCCACCCGGAGTCCCCAGCCGGAAGTCCCCGGAGTTGGGGACTGGCTTCAGTAGAAGCAGCTGGGACTCCCAGCAGCTTCTACTGAAGCCTTCCGAGTAAATCGCCAGAACGCCGACACCTCCTCATCTCCACCGCTCCCATGTTTTATTTTGTGTTGCCATAAGTTAGTCTCTCTGCGTTTGTGCGCTGGGAGAATGCTAATGCTAATAATGCTAATGCCAGGATAATAAAATGGCGGCTCTACAAAACATTTCAGAGTTGTACGAGGCGTGGTTTGCAATTCGCCCAGCCAATCAGAACTGGGGCACTTTTTCCCCCAGGAAAGTACCATCTCTCAGCAGGCACTAAAAATGGGGGTAAAAGTTCCCGAGATGAAGTGCTCTTTTTGGTGTGAACGCGACATAAGGGGTACTAACGGAACTAAACGCGAAAAGTACGGTGAAAAGTACTCCGGTGTGAACGCGGCTATTGTAAATACGGTTATATTTATATTTTTTACTATTTTTAATATTTGTTCTAGTTCTCTATCTGTGTTTTAATTGTTTTTTACTTTTATGTAAAAGTGTCGAATTTTACGACACTTAGTAAAATTCCTCGTAAGTGTAAACTTACCTGGTAATAAACCTGTTTCTGATTCTGAGACAAGGTCATGTTCTTTACTTTTTATGCTACCATGAGTCTCCGGTTTTTAAATAGTTTGTAGCTGAAGCCGATCTCTCTCTTCTTCCTGTAGTGGTAGCTGGCAGAGCCTTTTCCCCCTTAGCTTATGAATAAACTAACGTCATTCATCCTTTGTTTCACAGCACAGGGACCAGCAGCTCCAGAGCCAGCCCCCGCAGTCCTCCCAGGCCCCTCCCCAGTCGCAGTCTTCACAGCCACAATCTCAGCAAAGGCAGAGGCCCCGTCGTGTCCAGAGGGCCATGTCCCAGGACCGCGTGCTGTCCCCTCAGAGAGCCCAAGAGCAGGAATACAACATATCTTCTAATGGTATGTCCCCATACGGAGGCCGCATCCTCTCAGATGAACAGCTCCTGTCCGCGGAACGTCTTCGATCCGAGGAGCGTCTCCTTCCCCAGGACCGCCACACCTCCCAAGACCGTCTGTACTCTAATGATCGCATGTACACCAAGGACCGACTCCTGTCACAGGACCACATCTACTCCAAGGACCGCCACTACTCTCAAGAACGCCTCTATTCACAAGATCGCCTGTACTCACAAGACCGCCTGTTATCCCAGGATCCTCTGCTCTCACCGGACAGGCTGATGAGGTCTTTGAAGCGTGGCATGGTAAGCAGTGTCTCTGGTGGGTTTCGTGGAAGCGACAAGTCAATGTCGCGCGCCATCTCACACACAGACGTGTTCGTTCCAACCACACCTCTTATGGATCACTACAAGATGACCAAAATGCACCCCCATTCCAGTGCCTCAAACAATGGCGGCGGGGTCGGTGGCGGTGGCGGGGCCGGGGCCGGAGGCACTGGGCATTCCAACACTTTAGCTATGAACCAGACAGCAACCAAGAGACAGGCGTTTGCCTCCAGACGGACTCACACTATGGAGCAGCTCCACTATATCCCACCACACCACCAGCAGCAACCACAGCCACACCACTACCGTACAGGCAGCAAGACCGAGGTGACGGTGTGACAACAGCCAGCCAGCTGAACTGCTGGAGGCAGCATTGTTTAGTGACAGGTTGTGGGGGGGACAGAGGTACATGGGTACATTGGCCTTCCTTCAGAGTTGGATGCAGGGTAGGATGGTGGTGATTTCACGCTCTTTGACTATGTTTCTGCAATGTCAAAGATTCTAGAACATCCACTAGCTTAACGCAAGAGACCGGAAAAACTAGCGACACTGTACACTGCATACACAGGCCCAGTTAGATCTGAAGTCAAAGAGGGTGGTAGTTGGGGGAGGGTGAATTTATCCAGCTAACTTGCCCATTTTTCCACTGTCTTGGTTACCCTATTCATCTTCAGGCTATGGCCTCATTCTGTGTATGGTTTAGCGAGAACACACTCATCGGGTCTGTTCAAGCCTTTATCCTGCCCCTTCGCCCAACAGATCTATTCTGTGACCTTTTCTGGAAAATGTTAAAGGGCTTTGCATGGTTAAACACATAGACCGACTTCTCCGTGACTTCTGCTGTGCAACACAACACCACCACAGACGATGAACTAGATTGAGCCTGTAATAACTTTATAAATATACATATAAATGAACATAAAAAAACATTTGTACACCCAGTCCTACTCATAGCTCTAGTGAAACTCAATGAGAGAAATTAAAATGGATGTTGTAAGCACTTCTATTTGGTGCCTCTCAGAGTTCCAGTTCTAAAGACGAAGTGGTTTGTAACCCACAAAGCACAATCAATAATACAAATGATCTTCTGTTTTAGATTTTGTTTTTTAAATTTAAAATAGTGATGGCTAGCTTTTTTTGTTCTTAAAGCAATGGCAGGTTTTTTTTGCTTCCAGTAGACAATTGTAAATAAGCTATTCTATGAGCAGTATTATGGACAAGTCTGTACTGGATAAACTTTGTATTACACTGTCTGTTTTCAATAGATTCTTAAAGAACAACTATAAATCATCACTGTTTCGTGAGATCAGAATAGAAAACCCACTTAACCAAGGATAAATGACTACTATACTGTGTGTGTCTTTGCAAAACCGTTATTAAGATGAGAAGTGAATGAATGTGTTGTTAATAACAGATATACCACTGCTCATGTGGATATAGACTGTGTTCCATTGACATCAAAGGAGTTAAACAATATGGAAATGGATTATTACAGAAGGGTCAAATAAACAATCCATATTTTTCTAAACATTCAACATTGTTCCCTGAGAAATGTCTGTGTCTTGTGTTTGCTTTATAAAAAAACATGACACACCACATCAATGTGAGTTTTAAAAATGTTTGTAGGCTTGCGGTGTAGGAACCAAAAACGTGTTAGATATAAGCATATGGGTTAGAACAAGCGTTCCTGGATAAAGTTAAATTAAACGGAATTACTGCTGGAGGGAGTGACGGAAGTAAACAACCTAATGGTGTGTTTGCAGTCATGTGAGCAACCAGCTGACCACGCTAGCAACTTTAGCCAATAGAACCTGCTGGGTTCAGGTAGTGGAAACATTTTCAGGCCCATATTTGTATTTTGAGCTTCTACTATCACACATTACATGTGTCAACATTCAATAAAGCGCTTTATTTTTTACATTTGTGCTGCAGCACCTAGTATATGCAACCTCTGTTCCACTTAAATTAGTTTTCTTTCAGTTCTGTGATGCAGCGAGTGTTAGGTCGGAGTTAGTTTTACTTCCTAACCTCCTAAGAAACTGTTTGCTTTTCCACCGTTTAGAACCTAAAGGTATGTGATGATGGCACCGTTCACGCCGCTGCTGCTTACTCTTACATAACAAGAATTAATTGCAAGCACGACTTGCCACTATTCATGCAAATTTGTATCCAGCCCCAGGCTATGACTTAAAGGGGACCTATTATGCAAAATGCACTTTTTGATGTCTTTTATACATAAATATGTGTCCCCGGTGTGTCAGGGAACTCACAAAGTGTCAGAAAACAAAATCTTCTCTCTTTTCCTCCGTACCCACATCTCTAAAAAAAGAAAAGAAAAGGGGGGTGCTAACAAGCAGATCCAGAATGTTCGCTCCTATTACGTCATTGGTGACATCCGGCCGACGTGACACGTCCCAACCTATCGTCTCCGGCACACGTGACACGTCCCAACCTATATTCTCCGGCACACATGACACGTCCCAACCTATCGTCTCCGTATACAGTCGCAGCTGTGTGTCTGTGGCCGTGTGTCAATTCAGGGGCTGCACCCTTCGGAGTACGCAGCCTACGCGGTCCACGGTGGACCCAGCCCACGTAGACCGAGTAGGCTGGACCGAGCGGCCTACGAAATGAGACGGTCTAGCCTACGGAGCACTTCGTATTTACGTCACGTTATACGCGCTGTTCAGTTGCGCTGCTCCTACAAGCTAACTCAGCTGAAAAGGATCCAGAAACATTACTTTTACTTTTTTACTTTAACCATTTCTTGGAGATCACCGACAGCGATAAAATAAAGAGGACCATGGCCAGCTGTTCCTTTAGCCCCCAGTAATGTTACATTAGTAAGTCAACAAGTAAATTATATATAGCTGATGTAATTTAATCATATTATTTCATATTTAAAATAAGTCTTAATTTTTCTGTACTAATAAAACAATATGTTTTTTACATGAACAAAAGCATGTTGTATAGATTGATTCTTAACAATATTAGTGTTCTAATCTTAATAGCTGTGATTATAACAGTTTATATTCTCCTTCGTCCCCTAAACCAGCCCAGATGATGTCCTACTAACACCAGGTCATCACCTCCAGGTCCAGCAGCACCGTGACCCCCCGCTCTGCTGAAATACCTATTTTTTGTATTAATAAAATTAAACTGAACCTAAGACAGTTTAATGACCTAGAGATATCCTATTATTCCACTGCTTATGTACACATGTTGTAAATAATGGTTAAAACCTCATTAAATGAAATAAACAATGTATTTAACAATTACTATTTTAATTTAATTTTGTATTTTCATCTTATCACAAAGTAGAGGTAAGAATATATCCATCCTCTCTTTGCAGCTTCATGTCTTCTATTATTATAACTTTCATCATTGAGACAGAGGAAATCAATCATGTTATTTAACATCATCAGCAGTAAAACAAATATCAGCAAAAGTGTGTTTATGGAGTTGTTTATTTGTGTTGTATGTGCAGCGAGTATATAGAAGCAGTTGTTTGGGGAATCAGTCAGACTCAAGCTATAATCGTTACATATCTATTAAAAGAAAGGACACATACAAAATCTAATTCTGAAACTAAGACACAAGTCTGTAGGACGGCAGTAAGCAGAGGTCTGGGTGGAGGATGTTCCTGATCGCCGTTTTGCTTTCTCCAGCACCACGGGGTGTCCAGGTGGATGGCAGCTCTGTCCTGATGATCCGCTGGGGTTAGGGGTCCTTCTCCAGCACCACGGGGGGTCCAGGTGGATGGCAGCTCTGTCCTGATGATCCGCTGGGGTTAGGGGTCCTTCTCCAGCACCACGGGGGGTCCAGGTGGATGGCAGCTCTGTCCTGATGATCCGCTGTGCACTCTTCAGATTAGGGGTCCTTCTCCAGCAGATCCATTTCTCCAGAATTGTCCTAATTACAGAGAAAAACAAGAGAAAAAGAAAAAGGTGAATTAATCATATTAAACACAGGGTTGCAGAAGTATTATTGCAAAATGTAACTCTAAGCATTTCAGACAAACAATCCCTAAAGGATCATTCAAAATGATGTACTGTTCTGGTTTTTAAAAAACTAAAGAGATGAAGTGACAGTCACACGTGCATCCCTTTGACAGCACGGCACAAACTAACAACAAGCTAAAGGCTGCTGTCTATTTTTGATTGTCTTATTATTATGGGATTAGGATACATTAAATAAACTTTAACCTTATAAAAGATCAAATCTGGTGGAAATATTTAAAATAGGCTTTTCTTTTAGCCCCACCTCAAAGCAGCATGAGCTGAACACAAAGGTTGTAATGTTGTCCCAAAGTTTAATAAACAGTAAAACATGGCAACATGTCAGAGAAATAAATAAAGCAAACAGCAGCTACACGTCAGGGTAGCATTTTATAAATCCCACCGTACTGTAGGCTATACAGGTCTAAATGTTTTCAATTTGGTCTATTCATGTAATATAAAGTATAACTTATCTATAACAGAGCCAAGATCTCTGTATGACTTTAGTAAACTTCTGAATTGAATTAAAAATAAGTGTAAACAACAGTGCAGTACGTCCAGCTAGCTAGTTAGCGCCACGTATTTATCCGTATTATTTAACGAAAATGTACAATGCCCCTTGGGTTTGACGTGTGTGACGTTAGTTAATTTAAAGTAAGTTAAAACCCAATACTCACATTTATTAGTGATTCCTCCGCTTAATGCTGCTTAATGCTGTCCGGTCTCTGCTGGGGAGACCGGACAGCCATTTCATTTGAAAAAAACTCACTCTTCCCTGCGCGCATTGCAACCTGGGATATGGTAGACCGCGGAGGATACATCAGATGTATCCTCCAAATCCGGGAAAAGAAGGCTGCTATGGAGCCAGAATTGGGTCAATATTCTAGCGCGCAAAACAAGCTACTCACGAGGAAAACATTTGCTTTTACACGTGCATAAAATGACCCTGGCGCGAAACTATGCGCTCGCTCGCGAGAGAGACAGCCCTCCTGCTCGCTCGCGGGAGTTTCAGCCTCACACGCCGCAGTTTTCGACAGATACAGCCCACTCAAAAATATATTATTTTATATCAAATTAATTGATATTAGCTGTACACTTTACGAATATAATAGTTTTTTATGGACAACTTCACCAATAAATCTCGTCCAACTAATCTTGCTGCTGTCACTCCTCGGCTCTTGGTAGTTCAGGCAATGATCAAACCTGGCAACTCCGGGCTTCCTGGCAGCTGTCAATCAAAGTCCAGTGGCTCCGCCCCAAAGTGTCAGAAACTTTTCACGCGCGCGCAGACAGACTCCACGAGCGATTGAGGCTGAAACTCCCGCGAGCGAGCAGGAGGGCTGTCTCGCTCGCGGGGGTTTAATCTGCGTGCCAGAGTCATTTTATGCGCGTGTAAAAGCATATTTTTCGCTCGTGAGTAACTTGTTTTGCGCGCTAGAATATTGACCCAATTCTGGCTCCATAGCTGCATTCGTGGGCCGCATTCGGAGGAGTCTCGTCTTTTTTTTAAATTGGGACAGCCTTCTTTCGGCGGAAGTGACGTATGCGGTCTACAAATGCAGCCTCCGAAGGGTGCAGCCCCTGAATTGAGACACGGCCTTAGAGTAAAGTTGTATACTGTCTATGAGTATTTCGTGTGTGATTGCAGACATTCTCCAGCTATGAGATACATGTAAGGCCATCTGCTAACATTGGAGTTGATATATGGAAACGCTAGCAACTTAGTTAGCCCAGTTAGCACTGCTCGCACACACACTGCTGGAGGAGCAGACAGGCTTGGCGATACAGCTAGAACAAGCGAAACTCATCCTGAGCACACACAAACACTCACAGCCGAAGTAAAAACAATAAGTGTGGCTTGATATTGAGTAAGAAAAAGGTTTATAACCAGGGGTGCACACAACTTTCTCAGTGAGCTACTCAGATGAGTACCTGGAGTCAGTGTTTGGTACTCCAACTTCTGACGATTGTCAATGGGGGGGGGGGTGGCGTCAGTGGAGTACAGCGCTTCGCGATTGTCAACGGGGGGTGGTAGTAGAGTACAGAGCTTCGTGACCGCGGAGCGTGTGAACGTTGTGATCAGCTGTTTTAGCGCAGGGCTGCTGTACAGACCGACGTTAACAGCAGCCCTGTCTGTGCACACGGAGACCGACTCTCGTCCGGTGAACTAACCGCCTTCTGGAAAAGCTCAAGTGACGGTACGCATTTCAGATTGTTGCCGCGCATGCGTACCAGTTATGTGCACCCCTGTTTATAACGCTGTGAGCATGGGTCTGCGGAGAGCATTTCAACGTAGAAGTCCGAAAAACGTTTACCCATTTAAACAGTCGTGGTAGATACCTTGTTCGTTTTAAACATCATAAATACACAAACAACAATGAATACTTACAGGTTGTGTACCCGAATCTCTCGCTGGTCCAAACAAAGTAGGAACAGCATCGTTCTTCAGTGCCCTACGCTGTACATATCCGGCATGAATTGCTGAAAGGTTTTGGGAAGCTTTGTTACGTGAAAGGCTGGCAGAGGGTGCGGCCATAGCTCTGGG